AGATACTATGGGGGAGGGTGTGAAGGCAACACCAGAGGACAAAAACTTGGAAGCACATTTCAGAATTTTGATTAGAGCTTTCTGCAAAGCGCGCGTTGGTGCAGGCCGTGTGCGGAATCGGGACCCTTCAAACTTTGCAAGTCTGTGTTATTGAAGTAATGTGTTCGCGTTTCATTGAATGGGTGATATTGTAAATTATACCTAGCCTACAGTGTATGTTGTGGCCTTCTGTTCAAGACTGGTTGATTTTCAGTGTCACTACATCTTGCCCTACCACAGTTATTACAACTCTCACAGTGCATGGGTCTACTTGAGTCTTTCAAGTTATCGCTTTTCTCTGAGTTTGAGCAATATGTTGAGTCTGTCAGTTCATAATAATAATATGAATCATGACACCCAGACTGGTTCTTGCTTGGCGAAATTTTTGTTCTAGGCCCTTCCGAACTCTCAAAGCAGGATTTATTTTTTACGTAATAATGAGAAGAAAATATTACCGGTATAATAGACTGAAATATTTAAGTCAAACAAGACCCCAGTACGACACTGAACACTGACAGTACGACACTGATCACTGACAGTACGACACTGAACACTGACAATAGGACACTGAACACTGACAGTACGACACTGAACACTGACAGTACGACACTGAACACTGACATGTTGTTGACTGGATACATCTATATTGTACGTGTGTGTGCTTTCTTTTTCCAACTGGTGAACTATCTAGTCATTTTTTTTCAGGAAATATTGCTTGACCCCCTTACCATTTTACTATTACTAGTTGGTGGGTCGGTCGTGGGGAATACACATTTTCCCCTGAAAATACACATTTTCAAATTTCCCAATACTCATTTCGGTTTTCTATGGTTGGCATCTCTGCATGGGACCTCAGAGATTTTTTGCCCTTATCCGAGAGGCTAGGTGTAGATCTTACCTACCATAAGGTCAGGGGTTTGGCTGAAAGAAAGCAGTAAGAAGGAGCCAAGGAGTAGCTGTAGAAAGGCTGCAGAAAGAGTCAAGAACCCAGAGGAGGGGGCAAA